AAAAAGTGATAAACCTTGGCCAACACCGGTGTGGTGCCTGCCAAGAGCTCTCTGATGATCAAGTCAGACACCGAAGCTCTAAATTAATGGCATTAATTTTATGTATGTATTGTTTCGTACCTGTTTTATAGTTGAACTTATTCTTATAATTGATGTTCTTCCAGACTGTTGCGATTTGTTGGTGATTTGAGGAGATTGATTTCTACGTATTTTGAATTTGAACTATTGTCATCCGCTAGTCGTATTTCAGTTTATTTCAAATTGGTCAAATACAGTTGGACTTTCTTATCTGGTCTGTTGAGTTGCTTTATCTTAAATCTCCTTATCAATACCTTTAGTTTTCGAAGAAGATCCTTAGAGTCCTTTGAGAATTTCCTTAGCCCTTTGAGAATTCCTTGCAAAATATTATAGTGTTCTATCCTATTTTTGACGATTGTCGATAAACATGATTATATATATATATGACAACAATAGGGACGGCGTATCTATAAATAAACATACGTAAGTTTCTCCTCCCATGATGAAAACTTAGATACTAATTGTTAGGATTAAATCTCACCAAATAAGTTGAAAAACCATGGTTGGAAGTATAATCCACAGGATCCATGCAAAGTAGCCCCTTCACACAAATCGGGTAAAGCTCGGACAACATCAGTGATCGTAACCCTTAAAGAATTGATCGCATTTGAGATGATTGGAGCCTAAGACTTAATACTTCATGAGACATGTATTGTTATGGATATTTTAATAAAAATATAAATAATAGTTATTATATTAATAACCATTAATGATTATTATTATATGATTTAAATAATATTTATGAGGATATTATTTCAATCGTTATTTCTTTCATTATCTTATCTTAGACGTTACATATTTACTTTTTATATTGCCAGAGCCCTCTCGCATATTAGCCGTCCGATTGAAGAGTTGAGTTTAGGAATTAACTAATTTTTTTTTTATCTTTTTTGTCTCCAGTCTCTCTCCTCTCTTCTCAAACTTTCAACTTCTCTCTTTTCTCTCTCTATCCTCAAAACTTTTTCGGGTCTTTACTCTCTCTCTCTCTCTCTACTCTTTAACCTCTCTGCAACTCATTCTTCTCCTTCTCCTTCCTCGCCGAGCGGCCCAACACCTTTTTTATCTCTTATATATATATATATATATATATATATACATATATATATATTCTCTTGCTGCTCAGAGAAAAGAAAAAACAGATTCAAACCAAATTGATTGAAGAAAAACAAATTTACTTCTATATGGCGGCAATGGTGGTGTTGGATTTGTTGTGGTGGTTTTTTAATTTTGATATTTGATTTTTTTTTTTTGTGCATTTTGATTGTGGTGATTGTCGGGGTGGAGATTGTGGCGGTGGTTTGGGGTGATCGGGTTGGTGGCTGTTCATAGACACGGGAAAAGGGAGGCCAAAAATATTATCAGTTTGAGAAATACATATGGTAATTAACTAAGAGAGATTTTTTTTTTCCCACCTATAGAGAGAGCTGATTGATTAAAACAAGAGGCAAAACAAAGAGAAAGAAATAGAAAGGAGAAAGAAATTGTTTTCCTGCACCGGACGACGACGGTGACGGGAAGGGCAAATTGGGCTCGAATGGATTGAGACTGGAAGTGGGTTTTGAACCCAAAAGTGCCATTAATTGAGCACCACCCAGATTAGGGTTTTGCTGGGGGAAGATTAGGACTGGGATAAGAGATGATGGTCCTCTCGTGCTGGTCTGATAAGTTTGGTGACTAGAGGTGAAATGGCAGTGGTGGGGATAGTTTGAGGAGTAAAAGAAAAGAAAGAGAGAGAAAGAGAAAGCAGAGGAGATAGGTTGTGGTGGTTGCCGTCACGTTGCACCAAAAATTTGCAAAGAGATGAAATAAGAGTGTGAGGGTGCAATGTGACCAAGTTCTAAATTTATAAAAGCCACTACTACCTCTAATTAAAATTATAGTTAGGGTGAGTAGGGATCGTCCTAAGGGATTGGTGGGTTGTATTACTATAGGAACAAGATTAGGGTTAGTGGGTCGAGTAATCAAAATGTGGTTGGTTTGGTTGATTAAACTACAATTAAGAATAAACAAGCTCAATATAAAATAAGTAATTAAAGGATAGAGAAAACAAAAGAGAGAGATCTTAGGACGACAAAAGAGCTTGGATCCACCTTGGAATGCAGAGATTAATCTATGTTAGATCGATCGAAGAAATTCTGTGATCGATCGAATTTTGCTAAACTTTCACCATTTGCTTCATTTTGCTTCCACTTTACTCCTTTCTTTCTTTCATCTCAAGATTACTTCAATTATGCTTCTATTTGGCTGAATTAGCTTATTTTGGGGATAAGTGCCTGAAAACGAAAATAACATGAAATCAATCCAAAGCAGGAAAATAAGATAGATAAAAGTCCTAAAATACCTAAGCTTAACAGGTTTAAATGCACACTTTTCAATGCTCATCAGGCTAATAGTTTGAGGAGAGAGAAACGGAAAGTTTGAGGAGAGAGGAGAGAGAAAGGAGAAAGGAGAAAAAAAAAATAAATAATATTTTTTTATTCCTAATCTTAAGCATATTCAATCTGATGGCTTATATATGCAAGCACGCTCTTGCAGTAGCATTACCCTTATATATATCTCTTATGTGTATGGTAATTTAGTAGAATGTTATGTGAGAGAGTGATATTTTCTAGAGTGATATTTTTGTGTATACGGCTCTTTCTTTCCTTAAGAGTATGAGTATTTTTACATATTGAGTTTATGAGCAACTAGACTTATATAAACTTGGACCTAGTCTTCATGTGGTCATGCACATGGAGGAGTCGCCGCTGCTAACTAATTGAGTTGTATCTTGGAGCTGATTAATTTCACCACACGAAGGGGAAGACTATCAACTTTAGGTCAATGTGTTTACACATGCCTCAACAATCAGGCCAGCTCTTTCTTACCTATTTTATTATTATCATTTTACTTCTTAATTTATATTATTGAGCTAATATTAATATTATATTACTGAATTATTTATTTTGTTAAATTCATGTTCATTATTATATCCATATTATTCAAATGATGTATTTTTCAGTTTAATGAAGAATTATTCTTTGATTATTCATTGGTGTTATTGTTCATTAGGTTGAATCATTGTGTATGAATGTTGTATTTATATTTTTTTTATAAATATGTGGAATTTTCACAACAGTCTAAAGTTGATATGTCCTACAAGTTTTATTTTTTTTACTAAAGAGAAAATCTGTTTATGATTTAAAAGGAAAAATACATCTCTACCGTACAAATAGAAAAGTTAGTTTTTGGACTAAAGTAAATTGACAGAGAAAATATAATTTATTGATTTTACACTTATTTTCCTGATTATCCAAGTTGAGATCCCTATAATTTTATATGATGCAATGTTGTTTGTTACATGAAAAATCATGGCTTGTGTTCATGTGATACTGAATGTTATGACAACTTACATGTATGTATCTTTGGAAACCAAATAGAGGTATATATATAATATATGTTTGTCATGGTTTTCTGTCCTTTTGTACATCACTATATATGGCATGGAGATACATTATTTAAAGAAATATTACTGAATTTGAAGAGAAAATTTCTATATTACAAATTCATATAAATTTATATGCTTTGTTTCCATGGTCTATTGTATACTCTTTATATTCCAACCTGCTTGACTACATATTGTTGTACATCTTCGAATGTTGCTATTTTGGCTATTGCACTAGTGTACTTCACACACCAATACATTGTATAAGGTAAAGACAACACATGAATTGATATTAATTATTCTTTATATAACATTGATATATATATATATATATAGAGAGAGAGAGAGAGGAGTGAATGTGTATAATTATGAGAGAATGATCCTATTAAAGTTTGTGGTTACTGTTTCAACATTAGTGTTCTCTTCAATTGACTGAATAAATATATATGCATGTACAATCTTCAGTTAGGGGTGGCAATTTAGGTTTGCGTGTCATAAACATATCGTGTCGACCTACAGGTATTACACCAAACACTTTAACCCGAACACGACACGATTAATAATCGTGTCTGATACCCTTAACCCTAACACGACCTATTTATTAAACAGGTAACACGACACGACACGTGTAACCTGTTTAATAAATAAACACACCAAAACACAACCTATTTAAAGACATGCTTAACCTGTTTAATATGTTTGACCTGCTTAAAGACCTGTGTAACATGCTTATATGGAGTAATTGATAGGACATTCTATAGTTTGATTTTTATTTTTTTCTTATCAGGGCATTCAATCCCATAAATGATTGTGGTCATAATCAGAATCAGTAATTAATAACTGATAAAATTCCTTGACAATCACAATGGAAATCAAATTTTACATATTTAGAACATTAGAAAATCAACAGAGCACTGTAAGAAAGATTTATGATAATACTATTTTATACTATTAACATAGCACAAATTGATGAATCATTGGACATGAATCATTAATCCGCAAAAATCCTCCTCATCATCAAGCATACTTGATCTTAATCATACTATATATATATATATATATATATATATATATATATATATATATATATATATATATCAGCATGGGTAAAACAAAGCACCAAAAGTCAAGATCTGCAAAAAATGAGCTTACAAAAGTTACAATACAAAAGAAAAAAAAAATCTTACTCTCTCTTGTTGTTGCAAATTAGATCTAAAAGAGGAAAGAGAGAAAAAATTAGAAAAATTACTTCCACCGTTCCGAGAAAGAGAGAGAGAGTCACCCAGAGATAGGGAGTATTTGTCTGGTTAGGGACTCATGTACATGGTAAGAGAGAGAGAGAAAGTCACACTGAGGCGGCATAGAAAGAGGAGAGACTGAAGAGAATAAGAGGCGTAATGGACTTGGGAGTGTTGACTGTGTTGGACCATGCTTTTTTTTTCTTTTTCTTTTTTCCTGGCAAAGAAAAGAAACAAAAGAGAACAAGAACACCACCAAACTAAGGAACAAGACCCAACGCATCATCCCTAGCTAAAGCCACAATCTGAAACGGAAGAGGAATCAACACCCGATCTTTAGGCATACAGGCACGAGAAAAAACCACAAGGGCATGAGCCACCTGATTACCCAATCTACAAACATGATTAATAGAAACAGAAGAAAAAGATTTAAGGTCGTCCTTGATATCAAAACAAAGAGTTGCAATCTCAGAAGGATAATCTGATTGTCCCACCACAGCATCAACAACAACATTGGCATCTAATTCAAAACACAAACAATTATAGCCTAGGGAGGAGGGCCAAAAAATAGCACGTTGAAATGCACAAGCTTCCGCGACCATTGCCGAGGAAGCAAAGAAAGGTCTAAAAACCACAGCATGAATAATAAAACCTTGAGAATCCCTAAACACGGCGCCACCACTACCACGACAAGAGCTTGGAACAAAATTGGCACCAATATTACATTTGAAAAACCTGTGGTCAGGAGGCACCCAACAAATCGAAAAGGGTGGGGAAATAGCATTATCCAATTTTTTGCATTGGGATTTAGCCTCCCTAAATTCCCAAAAACTTGTGGTGGCCTTCTCCACCACCTTCCCCGGGCTCCATAACACCCCCTCAAACACCATTCGATTCCGAGCCTTCCAAATACACCAAACACAAAATGAAATCAAACTGAGAACAACCGATTTACCAGTTGAAGAAATAGCTTGGTTCACCAAAAACTTCCAACCATCCAAGAACGATTGAAATGAAGAACAAGAAAAATCAATTCTAAACGGGGACAACTTCCACACCTGAATAGAATGCAAACAGGTAAACAAAAGATGCACAATGGATTCTTCCGCCAAACCACACCGATGGCATAAAGGGGACACCACACATCCACGGTAAAAAAAAAAACACTCCGGTAGGCAGAGCATTATGACAACAGCGCCACAAAAAATGCTACACTTTAGACAATGCATGGCAACGCTATATTGAATTCCAGGATATTTGTGTCATTCGTCCTGCAAATGAATCAACAAAGGTTTTAGCAAGAAAATAAGCCAAATGCACAGAAAACTTATCGGACACCTCAGGAGCCCAAAATTGAGCATCCGGTTTATCCTAATGAGAAATATACAGCCGCAAAATTTCTTGAACTTCAAAAGAAAAAAAACATCTGAGATAAAACCTCCACCTTCCATGTCTTAGTGGAAGGATTAATTAAATCGGCAACATAACAACACGATACATTTACAGACGGAGACAGGAGTTTGTGAGGTAGCGAGAAAACCCAATGGTCCTACTAGATTCGAATAGATTTACCATGCTTTAAGAACTAGGGTTACTTATGCGAATATGAAATGACCATAATGTCCCATACTAAACGGGTCAAAACAGGTAACGGGTTAAACAAGTTCACGGGCGACACGTTTAATTAAACAGGTTACACGGGCTCCAAAATCCGAACATGATACAATTAACTAAATGGGGTAATCGTGTCAACCCGTTTACGACACGAACGTGTTTATGGTAAACTCAAAACCCATTTAACTCGTATCATGTACGTATCGTGTCGACGGGTCGTGTCAAACTTTGTCACCCCTATCTTTAGTGTATCTATATTTGCATTTAAATTTTTAAACTGAAGTGAGCCTTTGTATGTAACAATTAAAGTTTTTATATATATATTTAGTCATAACTAAGTGTGAGTTTTACAGCAGTATTAAATGCAAATTTAAAGATATATATTTGAACATTATAAATTAATGATTATATATAGTTATTAGAGAATATGGCAGTTATATGTGATAGCATTTCAAATATAATATAAAGGATCATAAAGTTTATTTATATTGCTAGTTATAAGGAGTTAATGGAAATTAATGGTGGGGTTTTATTAGCTAGTTGTTACTCTAAATTTAAACCATTGGATTGTTTTAGTTTTAAAAAAAATGATCATTAATTTATTAGAAAAACTTTAATTAGTTATATTTTACATTAAATGGAATCTTATTGTTTTGGTACTGTATATATGTTGTTTATATTGTGGCATTAATTTTTAATGAACTTAGAAATGGCAGTTTGCGCTTTGCTCAGTTACAAAGAGAATTTAAATTGTTTCGTGACTTACTATATAAATTCGATTTGAATATATTATATCTGAAATCAAAAAAAGTTGTATTAATGATTTTAATGGAAAAAGGAAAACTAGGAAACTGATACATGTCAATCAAATTACCATTTCTGCATTGGTTGATAAAATGGCGGTTTTTATTTATTTATTTTTTAAAAAAAAAAAAAAATATTCAATTTCAGCTTTACATGAATTTAATATTTCTCTCTAATTATATTATAAACTAGTATTAAATTTACTTGTGTTTTCATGAGAGGTGTAATACCACAAAATTTTGAAGAATGGAATCATGATCGTTTGATCAAGCTTCTTAATGATAGAGCTATTTATAATCAAAGCTTAAGATTAGTTCAGTTGCAAAAGGAAGCCAAACAGTGTACTCTCTAAGAGGACCATTGCTTGGTGGTAGGGCTACAACTCGGGTGGGTCCAATCCGAAATAACCCGAGCCTAGCACGAAATTTTGTGGGCTTGGCCAAAAAATTTTTAATTTTAATTTGGGCCTGGGTTATATATTTTAAGCCCGAATTCAATTCAAGCTGGGCTTGGGTTGATATGGATGAAGCCCGAAAATATTATATATATTTATAATTATACTTAAGTCACATGAGTGTAGTAGCCAAGTTGGTAGTGTGTTTGAGTTTTATACTTAAGGTTTCATGTTCAAGTTATGGGTGCAACATTAAGTGATTCATTTTTACACACAAATTCTTTTGAGGTGGGCTTAGTACAGGCTCCGGCTGGACAAATTATGTATCGGCTGAGCTTGGGCAGCTCGGCTCAAGGTTACAGCGGGCTCGGGCTGGGCTTAGGCTGAAGATTTTTTATATGAGCCTAGCCTGAGATGAGTGTCAAGCCCGCCCAACCCGCCCCTATTGCAGCCCCACTTGGTGGGGCAAAGGATCGGTCATAGAAGAAGACCTGGAGAATATCAGTTGAGTTCAACCAAAGCTTTCTTCTGTCCATCCTTTGGTGTGGCACTTGAGGATTTAACCAAATGATAGAAGGCAGAATTGAAGAATACCAAAGGACTATTAGCCATTAATGGACTAAATTGGCAGCCCCTCATACTTTCAGATTCCAGCACGTGTGTTTCACAATGCTGGAGCATTTTGCATTTTAATATGAGAAGTCCAAATGTGAAACCAGATAATGGATGAAATTGAAGTGAAATCAAGGTGGTTTAGAAGACGAACCAATTTAGTCGTCACTATGCATGGAATAAGGACTTCATCAACGAAAGCTAAGAATAAAAGGTAGAAGTTCTATCCAAACTGTTGATCACTCATTTCACCGAATTGAAGTATTAGAAGGTTGAAGGTGTTAGGATATGTGTGCCCTAGCATAGCAAATTCTAATTTTGGATTGTAGAAGTCATGGTTTCTTGTCTGGATATTATTATTAAAGCATTATACAATTGGTGAATGGAATGTATTATTTTTCGATTCTTTATGGAATTGATGGTGTCCGCTTGATTACAAAATATATTTATATATGTATGTAATGGCAATTAATACTATGATATAAATTAGTAATCATAAATGGTTTAAAGTCGGTAATTATGGATGGACATTTAATTAGTTAAGACTTAAACCGAGTCCACGATAGATTGAGATATATTGCGAGAGCTGTCGTATGCAATTGCTCTCTATCACAGTCATGGCTTTTGACTCTCAAGCATGAGAGAAGTATAGACTCTTTTATTAATTAATAATTACTTTGATTTGCTCGGCGGATACCTCGGGATCCTTAGATCGACACTTTGGGTAGTTATGTAATTAATAATTAGAGGTCTATATTCTCAATATTTGCATCAGTGCTATTTGTATTTATTTTGTTTTGATTATGGTTGATCACAAATTAAATTCGAAGGCCTTCGTATGTTTTAGACAAATGTTTTATATATATATTTATTTAATAAATTATTATTATTTTTTGTCAAATAAATATTTTATTGTGATCGAGCCGGAAATAATCAAAGGTAACAAAATAATTATATTAATTATGTTGTCGGATTGATGGCTTTAATTATCCGATAAATAATTAAGCATAGAGGGGTCAAAGTGCAACATTGACTTAGAGGTTATTTACTATTTAATTGGAGTGCAATTAATTTCTTTTAGTGGAGTAGAAATTAATTTATGAATTAATTGAATTGGGTCCATGGTTTAATGGACCGGACCAATTATTAATTTATAAGAGCCAAGAAAATAGTAAGCCCAAAAGGATTCTCACCAATAGCCCAAGTTGATATTGGAGTCATGTTAGGATTGAGAAAGTTGAATTAGAGATGGAGAATGATTTATTGTTTCCTTATTCTTATTTTATTTTGCCTATATATACATGAGTTCATGTATATTTTAGGTGTGACTTGGAGAACAAGAAAAAGGAATACACTTTCTCTCTCTAGATTTTAGGGTTTTGTTTCTCTTCTAAAGGAGGCTACCACCAGCCTAGATTCCAAGGTCATTCATCAAGGCATATTGGTGATTCCCAAAGGGAAGATAATAATCAAAAAGAAGGAGAAAGGATCTTGCTAAAGGGATCTACAATAAGTGAGAACATTCACTTTAGAGGAAAGTTCAAAAGGTTTACTCAGACCTTTGATGTGAGTATTCAATCTGTTTATTGAATTATGCATCATCTTTTATCTATCTTTGCATAAAACTTGTCTCCATGTAATGAATCAAGATCTATGATTGCAAATCCCTCAAAAAGTTTTAAAAATTTGCACGTTTCCCAACAGTGGTATCAGAGCACATGGTTTGATTCATTACTAGAGAACATGTGTTTATAAAAATCATATTCATGGATCCAAATTATATATACATATATAAAATTATTGATATATGTTGATGTATGATTTATTATGTTGATATATATTAATACATGTTGATGTATGTATAATTGTGAATGGATGATGATGTGTGTTTGGGCCATGGATGAAGCTTATAGGTATATAGAATGTAATTTTATTTTTGGATGAATGTAATTAAGGCTTTGTTTTAGCCGTTTGAAAATTCAATGATGTAATTTAATTTTTTCCATTGTATTTCAAATTGTAAGTATTAATTAAAGCCATGTAATATTCATCAAAGGATGCTATGAAGCTTCAAGAGGGTCCGAAAGGGTTAAATTAGGCTTCAGTAATTTTCTGGAATTTTTCCGAATTTTTCGGGAATTTTTTGAGGCTTAATTTAATTTTCTGGGATTTTTCCGGATTTTTTGGAATTTTTTCGGCGTTTTTCCGGTGGCCGGAGCTTCGCCGGCGGCGAGAAGAGGCGTCGGAGGTGGCCCGGATCTCGTGTGGCAGTGCCTTGGTGAGCCTGGCGCGTGTTCCACACGCGCCAGGAGTGGGCTGGTCAATGACAAGCTGGCGCGTGGATCTCACGCGCCAGCCAAGGAGTTGGTACACTCCACGCGCGGGAAGGCGCGTGGAGGCGCGTCCCACGCGCCCCAGGCGCGTGGGAGCGCGTGAGGGTGCATTCCACGCTCCCCAAGCGCGTGCCAGCGCGTGGGAGCGCGTGCAGCTTGCCCTAGGCGCGTGCCAGCGCGTGTGGGGTCCTCCGGGCTCGTTCCAAGCGGCGTTTTGCTTCTCCTGACGCGTACAAGCTTCCTATGGGTGTTTACAGACAGTTGAAGGATGCCCGTACAGCAAGAATAGTTTTTAAATGTTAAAAGCTGAATCCATTGGCCATTTATATTGCTTCTGTCTATTATTTGATGCATGGAATAATTTAATAATTGTTATAATTGTTCATGCATTGGATCCATGATTTTTAATTAAATGGCTTGATTTATATTAATTAAATTATGAAGATAAATTGGATTAGATTGCTAATTAATTTGAGGGCATTTATTGGGAAACAGAAAAATTATTTTTAAAAAATTATTTTTTGCCTCAAATTAAAGATTAGTGAATCATTTAACATCCATATATTTTCTAAATTTAATTGGATTAAAATCAAGGCGTTTTGCATGCATTAAATCATGAATTAAAAACCCTAGTTTTATATTATTAAAAATTGAGTGGGAGCGGGGATTTTTATACATTACCCCATGGCCTTCGTAATTATAACCATTATGATTAGATCTTTAAAAATAAGGCTCCACGCATGATTTAAAGAGTCTAGATTACAAGAATGGTTGTCTCACGAAAATATATTTATTAAATAACCATTATAGTTAGATCTTTAAAAATAAGGCCCTACGCATGATTTAAAGAGTCTAAGCTATTAATGGCAATATATTTAATATTTGTGTTTCCGTTGGAGCATTAATTATGTTATACACTCAATCTAAAATCAATAGTATTAGCTCCCCAACGGAGTGGTCTATACTAGGTGATTTTAGAAAGGCTAAATCTAATCGGGAATTATTTCATATTTAGATAAGGCATTGTCTAAAGAGATATGGAAATAATGAGTTATTCTCGTCAATAAGCAATAATGAATTCCGCCAACCGGATAAGTTATTGGCATATTGATTGTCCGATTATTCATGCAATGTGGTTGAGGGACCCACAATTAATTAATTGTTTTATACTTGCATGATTATTATTATTCACTTTATTTATTGTATGAATGCTTTTATTTTCAGATTTATCATGACTAGTCCATTCAGTCCACTTGCGAACATACTAAAAGAAAATCGATTAACTGGACCTAATTATATCGATTGGAAAAGGCAACTAGATATTGTACTCACATATGAGGGGTTGAATTATGTGCTTACTACTCCTAGACCTTCTCCACCTTTGCCTGAGGATCCTCCTGAGGAGCATGAAGTATTTAAGAAATGGAATAAAGCAGATGAGATGACTAGGTGCTACATTCTTGCTTCACTCTCGAATGTACTCCAAAGTCAACATCTTCAATATCTCACTTCTGCAGACATTATGCTTAACCTTAAGGAAATGTTTGGGCAAATTGGTAAGAGCGCACGCCAAAATGCTATGACAAATTTGATGACCATTAAGATGGTCCAAGGTACTTCAGTTCGGGAACATGCTTTAAAAATGATTGGTTTTTTAAATGAACTGGAGATCCTTGGATGCAACTTGGATGGTGAACTTCAGGTTGACATGATTATCGCTTCATTGCCAGACTCATTTAACTCTTTTAGGGTTAATTATTACATGAATAAGCTTGAGTACACACTCGCTGAACTATTGAATGAGTTGGTAACCTTTGAAGGGATAAACAAAAGCAAGGGTGCATCTATCAACTACACTCAGTCTGCTGGACCATCTACTTCTAGGCCCAAGAGGAGGGGCAAGAAAAAGAAGAAGGATGGTGCCAAAACTGTGGTTGTGCCAAACAAAGTAATCCAAAAGGATAAGGGAAAGAAGAAAGTGCGGGTTGAAGGCGAAGGAAACTGCTTCCATTGCGGTCAACCGGGTCACTGGAAACCTAACTGCCCAATACTTCGCACACAAGGCAAAGGAAAAGGTATATTCATTGTTGAGGCATGTAATGTGGTTGAATCTATAGATTCCTGGTGCATAGATTCTGGAGCCACTAATCATGTTTGCAATTCATTGCAGGGATTCCAGGAGTCCAGAAGCCTCAATGAAGGAGAGATATACTTGCATATGGGATCTAATGCCAAGGTGGAAGCTAAAGCAGTGGGAGTGGTTCATATGCAGTTTGATAGTGGGAGGAGTCTTATTTTAGAAGATTGTCTTTATGCGCCAAATGTTAGGCACAATTTAATTTCAGTTTCTTCGTTGATTTGCAAAAATTATATTTTTACTTTTGGAAAAAATGTTTTAATTAAATTAAATGGTTGTGTTATAACTTCTGGTGCATTGAAAGATAATCTATATGTTTTAACTCCTAGCTCATATCAAATGCAAAATTATGAAGTAAATGCAACTTCATCTAGATTGAATGTTAAAAGAAAAGCAGTTTCTCCAAACTCATTGTATCATTGGCATCTACGATTGGGTCACATCAATCAAAATAGGATTCAAAGGTTGGTTAAAGAAGGTTTATTACCTGGTGAGGCAGAGGAGCCTATGCCAACTTGTGAATCCTGTAT